CAAAATTATTTATAATTTTTTCGAAAATTATAATATTTTTTCTTTAAAAATTAAGATGGGGTTTCGATGGGGATTTCCCTATTGGGACCCAAGAGGGGTTGCCCAATGAGGGCCACATAGGGCTTTGCGTTACATCCCTATGTGTGGTCCCTATTGGGCAACCCAATGAGGACCCAATAGGTCTTACATTAAAATTTCTAGTCGGGACATTTTTTCAAGTAATTGAGCGTTTTAATTTAAAACTACAGTTGTTAGTTCATATTTGAGCTCTTTAAGACTATTTATGAATTTTTTCAGCTATTTATGTTCTTATTCTATTTTCAAACAATTTGTTTCATTTTATAGGATTTGCATAGAACTGGTTGTAGTTTGTTTTGCGGTGCTGCTGGTCGTGATAATCAAGGGGTATTGCGTCGTGCGTTATTAGGATTTGCACGATGGAACAAATCCGTTGGATATTGTCAAGGCCTTAATGTTCTTGCTGCCCTAATTTTGCAAGTCACCGACAAAGCTGAGACTTCTGCGGTGAAAATTATGATATATTTAGTTGAAGGAGTATTACCAGAGGGTTACTTTGCGGATAATCTTCGTGGTTTGACTGTGGATATGGCTGTATTCAAAGATTTGTTACGTTTAAAGCTACCAAGACTATCTAAACACATAGAATCTTTACAAAACAAAAACAAAAGTAAAGCAACAGGTATTTTGTCGACATTCGTTCGGTTACTCATAAGTATTACTTTTTTTTCTAGAATGTATTAATTGGATTATGGATTTATATTTACAGGGAGCAGTTATGAACCACCTTTAATAAATGTATTTACTATGCAATGGTTCCTTACACTATTTTGTCATTGTTTACCTGAAAATACTGTCCTTCGTATTTGGGACCTAATCTTTCTAGAAGGCAACGAAATTCTTCTGAAAACAGCTTTAGCTATTTGGAAAGGGATTTCCGAGTATGTATCCAATACTTTTTTTAATACAATAGTATAAATTAGAAATCCAAAATGCATACATTTACATCCCTGATCGATAAATCTAAATAATAGTTAATTCAATTGAGTATTCTGAAACGGGGTACCACCGCTCTCTTGGTCGCCTCTTAATTTATATAAGGCGCCACTGGATTTTTCCCACAGTATCCAGAAACTGGCCCAGAACATGGAGTGAAGACTCAGGGTCGTAAGAGATTGTCAGGAAGGAAACAGAAATTATAATAAGAAATTCATTTTTACAATTCATTTTATTTAAAAACTCTTAATACACAATAAAAACCCCTTACAAAATATCAAATCAACTTAATCCCGACGATATCCTCTTATGGAGCGTCCTATCGCGGTTTCTAACTTACTAACCGTTGTAACCCAAATCCGACGTGTATACAAGGGCTTCTAAGTGCGCCCAGGAAGCAGAGGAGGATACCATGAATCCCTAGGCTACACTGCAATAATATTTTCCACACACCCACAATATTTATTTAAAATACTTATGCCTATTGCACCCCCGACCCGGGCGTCTATGCAAAGGACTCTAAGTGTGCCCAGGAAGCAGAGGAGGATACCATGAATCCCTAGGCAACACTACAATACTTAATATCAAACCCACCCACATTATTATTTCCAAACCCACTAAATATTACTCCGGATTTTACAAATTTATTTTCCAAATTCAACTGATATCCGACTTAATGCCTGGATCCATTTATCCCTTCAATAATTTACAAAATCCGAGTTCCTAATTTATTTATAAAGTTCTTAATCTAAATTCCCAGTTAAAATCATTAACTAATTTAATGTCGTGGTCTTAATAATAATACAACAATTAAATATTTAATATCAAGAGGTCTTCGTATCTTGTATTAATAGGTTAAAATCTATTGACAGAGGTCTTAATAATCTGCCAACAACGTTTTGTTAAGTCCGAGATTTTACAAAATTATCTTACTGAATTTACTTAATTTATTTTATAAGTTGTTGTGTTAAATTATTTTACTTGGTCTAATTTATTTTACCAGAATTTATCAGTTTATTTCTCTAGATTATTTTAATTCATTTTACCGGAAATTATTAAATTATTTTATTAGATAGTTTATATTCTGAGTCCGAATTATTTACCCAGAGTCTCTTAAATTATTTATTTAATTGTTTTCCGAATATTTAGAATTTTGTCTAGATTATTTTATCTAAATTATTTTATTTAATTGAGAACTTAATTTTTATAACTAAAATTTTATCAATTGATTTTATTTAATTTATTTTTACTAAACTGTTTTATTTTGTCCTTCAATAATCGAGTTTTATTTTCTCTACGTTATTTTATTTTACGTTCTATTGTGTTGCATGAAAAACTTAGCATTTATTTTAATTTATTTGAGGATTATATTCTGCCTAGCAACACAGTACGATTTTAGTCTCGACTTTGAATGTCCTCTACACAGCGCTTCGCGCGGGACAAGATGGCTGACGCTCTCGCTCGGCTTGGCGTCTTGGTCGCTCGACTCCGGTTGTTTTTTCCAAACGAATTTTTACAAGTTTCATTTTCTACTTTTAATTAATAAATTTACATGAACCATTTGATTGCAAATTGACTGATTCTAATTTTATTACCAATGATTTTATTTTAACAATTAAATTTATTTTAAGAATTATTTTACTGGTTTTAATTAATTTAATTTCAAATGATTTTACTTTAATTCCTCTTAAATATTTTACTGATTTTACTTTATGCAATTACTTAAACGAATTTAACCAAACTCGATTACCAAAGACAATTTGTTTTACATGGCGCCTAAGTCATAAATTGACCAACCGAAATTATTCCTGGTAAAGTCAATCCAAACTTTGCCTACGTAGTAAATTAACAATCCGATATAATTCCTGGTTTTGTTAATCAAATATTTAGTAATTACTCCTGACTTGTTCTTAACTTTATTCTCGATTTTATTCTGGTTTTCTTTCTGGACTTTTCTTAATTTCATTCTGAATTTTATTTTAAATAAATTCTTAATAACATTCTACAGAATATTCTAAATAATATTCTCCTGTAACAGCAAATCGGCATTAATATTTGTTACAAATTAAAATTAACTAATGCAAGCTGGCAGAACGGCCTAGCAAGCACTATTATTATTATTATTATTATTATTATTATTATTTATTTAAGTGCTTTATAAGAGAAAATTCTTTGATACATTGCCTGAAGGTCCCTAAGTGTAAGAGTATTTACATATAAACATACATACATGTAGAACTAAAAAATATTAAAAATATGAAAATATAAAAATATATAAGTAAATGTAAATGATTAAGTAAAAAACTGTAGAACGATAAAAAGAATTTTACAATACTTTCGGCTGTGCAACACAATTTGAGTTACTTATTCAATATCATTCTGGTTAATCTGGTTAATTATATCGACACAGGCACAAAGATAGTTGTAGAGGTTATTAGAACCTAGGGTGAAATGGTCGTCCAGGATTATCATGAGATTGAGGTTGTCACTGTTATGTATTAAGATTTGAAAATATTGAGCCCGGGGTTCGGCAAAGAGAGAGCACTCCAGCAGAAGGTGTGAGACTGTTTCGTTTGCTAGGTTGTGGCAATAGCGGCAGGGTTCAGTAGAGCGGAGTTTAATTCAACCTCGATCAACGGTAAGCCGACAGGAATAAATGTTTGCTGTTCTTAGTTGGGCTATGCAGGTTATTTTGTGGTACGAGTTTCTCAGCAAGTATGTCGGAGTCCCATCAGAAAGAGTCCTCGGTATACAGACTTGACAAGATTTGGAGTTGTTATATCTGAGAAGATCTTGCAGTCTTAGATGTGTATAGTATTTCTCTAGTATTCTGGATTTGTTTGCTTTCCAATGATGGACGTCTAGGGTGTCAAGCATGTGATCTTCATCAATTACGGCGAGAAGATTGCGTAATTGAAGCGCCCAGTTGAGTTTAATCTGCTTGTAGTTGACGGCAAGCTTCAGAAGGCGCTTTAAACAAATTATTGGTAAGCGATTATTGTCCATCGCTAAGAGCTTAATTACCCAGTTATATGCTAGCTTGAGTACTTCCCAAGAAATGTGTATTAAATTTAATTCCAGCCTTATTAAATAGTGTGGAGTGCAGCTTGGAAGGTTCAGAATTCTCTTGAAAAAAGAGCAGTGTGCTGTTTCTAGCTTTTCATAGATTTCTTCTTGTAGGCCCCATATGTGTGCGAGATAGAGTGTGGTAGATTTAACTAAGCTGTTGTATAAGCGTAGCTTGCTAGACCATGACTCAGCTTTAAGGTGTGCAAGTATAGAATGCGCCGTACCAGCGGCCAGGTTCCCTTTTCTTGTCGCTTCTGATGCTGCTAGATTGCCTTGTAAGTTGCTTGAAAAGGGTATACCAAGGTATGTGTAAGATTTGACCACCTCTATTGGTTCTCCTCTGTATAGGAAGTTGCGATC